TATCTTCACCACAAACCTCCTTCGCAACTTGTATTACTAAATCATCTTCAGTAGTCACTTTGAAATGATCTTGCACTAGAGAATCTATCACTGAAATAGCTAAACAATTATCAACATATCCATCTATGTAGTTCATAGCCTTAAGCACATTAAAAGTAACCTTCTCCTCGTTTACTCTCATGGTGAGTTCTCCCTTTCTTGCATCATAATTGCACCTCCCGCAGCTAGAAAGGTTCTTCCCAATATGATTGGAACCTCCCTATCAGCCTCAAAATCTAGAATATAAAATGATTTGTTGAACTTTAACAAGTACATCTTCAATCATTCCTTCTAGATAGCAAGAGATCTGTCTGCTAACTGAAGTGTAACAGTAGTAGGTTTGGCTTCTCGCACTCCAAGTTTCCTGAAAATGGACATAGGCATCAAATTAATACTTGCACCTAAATCACACAAAGCTTTACCCATATAATTATCACCAATTGTGCAAGGAATAGTGAAACTCCTTGGATCTTTAAGTTTAGGTGGTAATATATGCTGGAAATAGCTATTACATTTTTGAGTTAAAGCTACTGTTTCCAACTCCCCAATCCTTCTCTTCCTAGATAGGATGTCCTTCATAAATTTGACATAATTGGGCATTTGTTTGAGTGCTTCCGCTAAAGGAATGTTGATATGCAGCTGCTTTAATATGTCTAGAAATCAATGTTTTAGAACTCGGCCCGATCATCAACTTGGTCGAGGTACTGGAACCAGTGGGTCACTGGTTCAACCAGTGGGTCTCGGGTTCAATCGCATAAATTAAATTTATAAAATATAATAAATATTAAATTATGAACATTGTATTAACAAATAAAAGTATTATAGTGGTAAAGATAAAGATGAGTATTGTTGTTTACAAACTAATAGCATTAATCTCCTAAAAACAAGAAAATAATTAAGATTAAACTAATCTAATAATTAAGGAAAGATTACGGTAGGATACTTAGCAACCAATGAAATTCAAAACACACATCAAATCTTATCTTCCAAAATATACCAAATATTTTGAAGTCAAAATTCTTGAGAACCTGGGTTAAGCTTAAGGTGGCATAAATTTGATTTAAACCAGATTTCTTGAATTAACCAATTAAATGCTTCCTTTGAATTCTTTTTCTTCAGCTCTTTCAATTTGACCAAATGAGTTTTGGATTCCACCGTAGATTCATATCATTCGGAGTCTTCTGAGTGATATGACAACTAAGATGTTGCTTAATCGTATGAAACCATACTAGGCAACTGTCCATATTGCTTTAAACTTTGTATTCCATTAAAGGACTAAACACGGGTAGGCTACTAATTTGTTCGTGAGAAAGTGCAAAAGAAAATAATTAAGACTCGCTACATTCAAACTGAAGATCCGCTAGCTAATATATTTACAAAATCTCTACCTACAAGCATTCTCTAGAGCATCACTGCTAAGTTGACTTTGATTGACATCTTTGCATCAACTTAGAAGGGGAGTGTTGAAGATATAAATCAAATTAATGGAGTATCTATTAACCAAAATATTGCTCTAATATTATCTCCAATTTTTCTAGAATAAAAGGAAACAAATCAGTATATATATTCACATAATTATAGATTGGAGAACCTACCAATCATTATGGAATCACGACTGGGAATGTAGGCCATAATTGCCAAATCACAATATTTTCCTGTGTTGTCCTCTCTTCCATTCTCCTTCATCTATTGTTATTTTTCTTTCATAATAGCAACATCAATTTAAACAAAATTTTCAAAATGTGAAAATAGCTGACATTGTTACGAAATAAGCACAAACAACCGTTTGTATAGACGAAAAATAAGGAGCAAAGAGGGATTTCTTCGGGCTGTGTGTACTTATCAAATTTAATCCCTCGTATTTGGGCATAGATTAATGGTTTTAATATTATTTTCGATAATTGAGGCATGTCTACCATCTTTTAGGAACCAAGGTGATATAACCAGTGTTTTAAAACTCGGACCGGTCATCGATTCGGTCGAGGTACTGGATCACTGGTTCAACCGGGTTCAACCGGATTTACTGTTCACAATCACATATTAAAAATATGTAAATATATTACTTATATTAAAAATTCATATAAGAAAACTATTAATATATACATCCCTCATTTTTCATGTAAAATGTTTCTAATTTGGTTCATCAAAAATAGTTAATTGGCTATGCTATTATAAAATATGAATATTCAGTTTAGTAAAGATCATTGTCAATTTGTTAACAAAGGCATGATTTTTTAAATCAATAGAGCTCTCAAAATATTTCCATTGATTTTTTCTCTGAAACACATAGGTAGGTGATAACAACAACAATAATTAATAATAATAACTTAAGCAAAGTTAAAATGAAAAATTGCAAAAGAGAAAAGACAAAATGTTGGGTATTGATTAATAAACCAAAATTATCAAACCAGTTGTGGAATGGGAGCAGATTGGGTGACTAGAATCCCAATGAGAAATATATAACAACGATTTACTTGTTCAATTTCAGTCACTGATTTTCGTCTTGCAAATGGTTATGCAGCCTTAAGAGTTAAGACAAAAAAGAAAGATATGAGAGTGACGTCAATCTCAGCCAGTGAAGAACGACAATCGACAAGATATGAAAGTGATTTAGGTTTTTTTAAATGAAAGTATGAAACTCAGGCTGAAAAACATCGTCGTTCATTTTATAGCACTTTTTTTTTTTTTTTTTTATAAAAAAAAAACCTTTGACCGGTCCAAACCGGGTCCCCTATAACTCGCCGGGTCACTAAGACCCGGTCGAGTCGACCAGTCCAAACCGAGTCGACTGCATAACCGGTCTAAAAGGTAGCTCGAATTGGGAAACCCACCGGGTCACCAAGACCCAAGTCGACCCGGCCGGTTCGATCCAGTTTTTAAAACACTGGATATAACACTTCCTTTTTAGAGACTAAAATATATGTTTACTCTTAACATTAAATAATTATGGTTAATTATGTTGCACAAAACTAAACAAAACAAATTAAATTAAACTAATTTTCAAAAATATGAAATTAACCGAAAAGCATAAATAACCGAATATATACATATGAGAAAATAAGTAGCAAAGAAGGATTTCTTCAGGGTGTGTTTTGTTAAACTACCTTATGCTCTTTGTTATAGGGTCGAGACAATATAGAGTTACAAGAATCACAATGATTGCATTTAAAAAAGAAAAAAGAAAAAGGAATAAATTAACATCCTTGCGAATTATGTGCCCTTTTCATTGTAACGTTCTGTGAATCAAAACCCGTTTGGATAGTTTTTTTTTTTTTTTGTTTAAAGTGTTTCACTATTAGGTGAATATTTGGAGCTAGCTTAAAAAAATTCGTAATCTTGAAATATGTGGCTTCATAAAAAATAAATAAAAGTTAAAAAGATCTAATATTTTTTCTCAAAATACAAATTTGTCCCAACTTAAACATAAGTGGTGTCGTCACCACCATCATTATTACCTTCACAACCAAATCTTGTTTCAACAATGATAACGACGATAATGATAACGACGATGATGATTATTAATATTAATATTAATATTAATATTAATATTATTTTTATTTTATTAATAGTAATAATAACATAAGGTAGGTTATATTTACAATTTTTTTTTGTCATTTTCTAACCGTTAATTTAATTTTGATTCAAGGATAAAAAAAATAGTTATAAAAGGTTGTAAGCAAAAATAAGTTCTAAATACAATTTCTACTTCTTATTTTTTAATAATATTTTGTATAAATGTTTTTTTTAAATCTGATATCCAATTTTTTTTAATTAAACAATGTAAAATAACTTCTTCTTTTAAAAAAAAAAAACTATTAGAAAAGCAGTACAAAAAAATATCTTTTTTCAAAAGCTCATCCAAATAAGCCATATAATTTTTTGATATAGAATTTATTCTTATTTGTTTGCAATTATTTTCATACAACGATTTTCAGTTATCCCAACCAGTATGTTGATATCTTACTCTTATTGATCGATTTTATATGTTTTCGTGGACATAAATTCAGGTTCTCCTTATAGTCCACAAGCATGGCGTAACATGCTTTTCTTCCCTTCTTTGATGCATGAATCCACAAATAAAAATATACCCTTCAAATCAAATGGTAGTAGCTCAGTTGGCGCAGGGGAGCTAAGCAGGTGGAAGTGAGAACATGTGTTTGAATCTCCCCAGTACCACCTTTGGGAGGAGTTTAAAGCCTTAATCCTAGACCCGCCCCGAATCAGATTAGTTGCGAAGCAATAAACCAATTGTAATATTTCAAAAAATATATATATATACCCTTCAAGTTATTTTTGGTGTAATCGAGGATATATATCGACTCCGATTACTATGATTTTGGCTTTTCGTTTGTGTATCTCACTCGTGTTTATGGCTGGTAGTGGGAGTTTCCCTTTTACATTCAAGTCAGCTTTTGTATCATTAATCTATTCTTCTTAATTAAAAATCTCTTAATTAGCTACAATTTCTTGCTTGATTGGTTTTTTATTTTTATTTTTTTCTTAATTGGTAGATTTAGAACAGGAATAGAGACTACAGAATCAAAGCTTGTAATTGGACCTCTTCGCTTGAATGGACACTACAATTTTCCTAATTAATGAAGATAATTGCAAATTCTTTGTTAATAATGAATTGCCCGCATTGTCGAAATATCCATTATATATCATTCAAATATTGGATATACTCTAATACAGAGCTAAGCATAAAGTTCTGATTTTTCAACTACGAAGACTTGCACTCACGATTTTTCAACTAGGTAATAAACAAAATGAAAAAACACTATTGGATTAAGATAGCAATTGCTTCCAACAATGTTTTACCAAGAGGCTGATCCTGTATTAGCATGTAGGTTGTCACCTAACAACAAATATCTCAAAACTATTTTATCAGCCAACAAATATGTTAAGTAACATAACAAAATGAAATCAGTTAGTAACCGAGCTTTACTAAAAGGTTGATCCTTTACTAGCAAGTTCGTTGTCACCTAACAACATCCAATTAAAGCCTAAAATATGCGAGAAACTAAGCCATTGAAATTGGTCTAGTGTTAAGGAATTTGAGTAATCTGTATGAGATTATAAGTTCGAACCTCAATGACAACATTGTATCCAAAAAAAAAAAAAGTGCAATAAGCTAACATTACTCTTATGAAGAGAAAGCTACACCTACACTAAAACAAAGACATACCAGATAAAGAAGAGAGGGGTCATCAAGATATTTAGCATGGGATGCTCTAATTACTAGAGGATAGTCATCAAGTACTAGTATGTACTTATTCTGCTGTATATTATTTACCCTTCCTCATCATAATCTTCTTCATCCTCTTCTAGTCGACTACTAAGGTTTGCAAGCTGCATAGTGTCAATGGCCATCTTGTCCACGTCAGAAAGGGACCATCCTGGAAGTTCTTCATGCTTAGTCTCTATTGCAGGTTCAGGCAATGAAGCCTGAAATGCTATGCTAGCATTTTTTTCCTCATTTTCATTTATGTTGGCATTCAGATCAATGTTACGGAGAGATTGAGAGCTTTCCTCAGGAACCACAATGTTCTCCTTTGGTAACTCCTTGGATTCTGGATCATTATCTATTGCCATACTTGCATTAGGGACATCTTTGATACTTTGCTGAACAGAGGAGCAGGGCTCAGATTCAACCTGCTGCTGGTGACAGGTCTCTCTTTCTACAGTTCGAGCCCCTCGGCCACGGCCTCTTCCTCTACCTCGGCCTCTTCCTCGACCAGTATGGCCTAACTCATGCTGCAATAAAACATAAAGGTTACAGAACAAAACAATAGAAGTCCAAGACCAAGACATTTTCACAGGACACTTTTTATCTTCCTCACAAGTATTCATATTGTCTTTTGGTCCATAAATGACAAACAAATACGTTAAATTTACAATTATCAATCGCACTAAAAATCAGCTTTTCTGGAAAACCTTGGCGTATTAGACATGGTAACATGAAAGAATAAGACTAACAAGCAAATGTGCAAGTATTATAGGTTTTAGGATTATAACTTTTAGAGTCAGAAACATAGCACCCAAAATATCATGAAAATATACTTTCTATGCAATGGTATTAAGTGGAAATATTTTATGTTACTGATGTCAAGTTTTTTTCTGTAAGAGACATCATTGCATGATTAAATGTAAAAGGGATGGTAAAGAATATTGTTTGACAACTTAAAGCTCAAGAATTTTAAGCTAAAAACAAAAACAAAAAAAACAAAAAAAAGAATATAAAAACAAAAGTTGACTAGGAACATCAATACAGAAGGTTGGGATAAGATAAATTCCACAATGAATCTACCTTGTCAGAAATAAAGCATATAAGGGTGGGGATCAAATAGAACTTAACACAAACCACTCCAAGAATTTAGTAAATCAGTCATGCAACATTTCAGAAAACTTAGACAAGAATAAATTTGTGGCCGGATGGTAGATACTTTCATTTATTTGAATATCATTTTATATGTGAATCATAAGACATTTTCATACTGTCGATAATGATCTTGGAGTAATGTGTGAAATTTTATGATCGAAACAATCATACCAGAGAATAATCTAGAAGAGTTTCTCATCAGATCCACTGCTGGATTCGAGTTTATATCATCAACTACTTCACATTATGCACATAAAATTTCACACAATCCAAGACTGCTTTCAACTCCATCAATTTATACTAAATTTTCATGTAAAATATGAACTTCAAAAACAAAAGATAATATCCAATTATTGATCACCATATTTGTGGTTATTTAAATTTTATAAAATTTAGGGTGCAACTTCAACATCATAACGAGAAATGATTCAATGCTAGAATTAACTGAAATGATTTTATCCAACGAGTTATTACATGAAGTGAACCAATTTTTGCACCATTGTTTCATGTGTGTGGGGGCGTGCAAAATACTTTACCATCACTTAAGAAATATAATTAGTAAGTATTACCCAGGTTTTTCATAAAAGTGCAATTACCATCTTACTCCTCTTAGCCTCTTCATCACTGTCATTGCAATCATCACCAGCAGCTTTCCTGGTAGAATGTAGCATTCTTAACTGCATTACTTGCTTATATACATTGATAAATCAAACGAGGTAAAAAAAAATAAAGGCCATTGGACTTCGAACCTTCTCTTTGGAAGGGAACGATCATCAGCTCCAGCCTCAGGATGGCCATGGCCATGGCCATGTCCATGTCCATGTCCATGTCCATGCCCATAATCAGGAACCCTGCTGACGATGTCTCTCAGAAAGTCAAAGACATTATAGCTTTGTACACAATGTTTTCTGCAATTTACATTTCCCACTGGTTAGACTACAATTACTGTATATTAAAAACATTAATGAGATGGAAAAGCAGGAAAGAGAAGGGGTTTGTGTTATAATTAAACAGATCCTGAATATTACATAGTTCAATTTATGAACGTGGAAACAGATGTCAGAGGAAGTAAATTTTAACTTCTAGGGATGTTTGCAGCTCCCCATTCCCCCGTGCCTTCAACTCCTAAGGGTTTTGGGTTATCAAACTGTCACAGAGGCAAGTAATAGCTCTCTCCTGTTTAATTGTAGCACACAATACAGAAGAAAACACAAACTGCACATACCAGATGATTGTCAAGAACAAACTACATTAAAATCTCAATGATGAAGTCACTGATAAGACCCCTTTGAAGGCGTATGCTAGGAGAGGAATATTCCTAATGATAATCTACTGGTAGGGGGAAGTTCTGTTAGAAGGGAGAGGATGGTTTCTGAAGAGGTGGCTGAGGTGGTTAGAGGAGTGGGTTAAATAGGGAATGAGGCACATGGAATGATAGGCTGTGAATTGAAATCTTGAGCTGGGAGAGACCAGTACCTGTCTAAAGTACTGAATCTGAATTTCTTCTTCTCCTTTCTTAGTCAATCCTGTTGTAATTGGAACAGTGTTTTCAATTTTTGTACTCTTCTTTGTTTCATTCGGTGTAACAGTCATTTCCGTTTTAACATATATACAGAAAATCCAGAGTTCTTTCTGGGCCAAAAGATCTCTGGTCCTTTCTCCTATCTTATTCTGATAAAGTTCTAACAGTCACCTATATACAAGGCAGCAAATAAGCATAATCTGATGAGGAACAGAAATTTCGCTACCTCAATTCTTAACAAGCAAATCAAATTTCAGCACAAGGTAAACTAAGTCTATGAATGGACAAGCTTAAGGGTTCCTTCAAGAAAAAATTAAATATCAAAATATTCCTTGACTTACAAATGCAATGCATTCATGGTCTTTGCTCCTCTCTGAAGAGTTATTTCATAAGTGCGGTCACAAAGATCTTGCAAAAATAACTCCAGAGCTTTAGCTGTAAAAAATTCAAGAGTGAATTCAACAACATAGAAGAGAAAAGACCCAGTTAACTAGGCAGTAGGTAAAAGCGACTCACACACTAAAACAGGAACTGCTAGTGCTATCTTTCCAACATCCTCATCTGCTTGCATTATCTTCTTTATCCGAGCCTGCAAATCAATGTTTTTATCAGATAATGCATTCTTTTAAAAGATCTCATTCCTTATGTTAAGAACCAATTCAACCTAAAAGCTTAAGCTTTTAGGTGAGGCTACGTTAATGGTTTTATATATCTCAACACACCCCCTCACACGAAAGTCCATTGGGCTTGAAGGATGGACAATACACAGGCCCACCTACCTGTGCGAAGAAAGAAATTCCACTTGAAAGAAAGTGGGGGGCGGTGAGGATCGAACCCGAGACACGAGGCTCTGATACCATGTTGAATATAAAATAATATGTTGTGTATTAATCTGATACAAAGAGTTACAATATATAGAGACCCTAATGGGCTTAAGTGAGAAGCCTAGAACTAATCCAAAGGAATAATATTTACAAATAGGAAGTAATCTAATCATATCTAATCATATCTATTCTAACAAGGAACTCTTTTCATCCCTTACATATTCTGATAATTTACCCTCTTTTACTCTTGCTGATGGCACTAAGGCTCCTGTTCATGGGATTGGACAAATCTGTCCAACCTCCTCATTGACCTTGACATCTGTCTATTACATTCCTAACATCCCTTATAATTTAATATCTGTTAGTAAATTGATCAACTCTCTAAATTGTATTGTCAGCTTCTCAAACCATTATGTTTCTGTGCAGGACCCGGGTACAGAGAAGACAATTAGAGTGGGCCGTGAGTCACGGGATCTGTTCTACCTGGTTGTGCCGAGTCCTTCCGTTGCTTGTTCTCTCACATAATCTCCACAACTCATCCACAGTCGCCTCGGGCATCCTTAGTCTTTCAAAATTACAGAAGATGGTTCCTCTTTTATCCGGTCTTCAGACTTTAGATTGTTAGTCATGTCAGCAAAGGAAAGCACATACGCTCCTCCTTTGCTAATCGAGTCAATAAACGAGCTGATGCTCCTTTTTCAATTATTCATTCAGATATTTGGAGTCCTAATCATAGTGTGTCTGTTTTAGGTTTTCGGTATTTCGCTACCTTTATTGCTGATTTTTCCCGTTGTACTTGGATTTATTTAAGGGAAAAAAGTATCTAATGTTACTTTAGATAACTTGTCTAATCTTCATTGAAATGATGTCGTTTTGGAGTTGAAAAATAAAAAAATTAGAATGATAAAGACTATTATAACCCTTAAATAAATTAAAATTACAAAAACACCATGATTTTCGTCCCAAAACGACGTCGTTTCGGTGAACATTAGATGAAGTTAACTAAAGTAACTTTAGAAGAAACAAACCCTTTATTTAATGAAAAATACCGTTCTGAGTTATTTTCTGTTTATCAAAAATTCTCTGCTGAAATTCATACTCAATTTGGTGCTTCTATTCGTATTTTACGTAGTGATAATGCTAAGGAATATGTTTCTGTTGACTTTTCTAATTTCTTAGCCACACAGGGTACTTTACACCAAACTATTTGTCCTCACACTCCACAACAAAATGGAGTAGCTGAACGTAAGAATAGACATCTCATTGAGACTGCACGGACTCTTCTTATTCACATGCATGTTCCTCTTCACTTCTGGGCCGATGCAGTCCTTGCTTCTTGTTTTCTCATCAACCGTATGCCTTCATCTGTGCTTAATAATGACATTCCTTATAACTTATTGCTTCCAGATGTTCCTCTCTATCCTCTATCCCCACATGTCTTTGGTTGTACCTGTTTTGTTCATGATCTCACTCCTGGTCAGGACAAGTTAACATCCAAAGTCTTTAAATGCATTTTTCTTGGTTATTCTCGTCTTCAAAAGGGCTATCGTTGTTACTCTCCCGATCTTAAGCGTTACTTAGTTTCCGCTGATGTCACCTTTCTTGATCAACAAGCCTTTAATTGTATCTCATCTCAATTGTCACAGTTGATCATGTTCTTCTTGTTCCTTTTATTGACTTGTCTTTGCCAGCTGCAGGTGCTTCTATTCCAGATGAGCAACCTATTGCTTCTATACCTGAGAACCGTCCACTTCTCACCTATCAGTGTCGCAAAATTGTGCCTCCTGTGGACTCGACTCTTGCTGACTCATCGCCCACTGCTGTTGATTCTTCCCCTCCGGCTCCTTCACTAGAGGCTCTTCCCACTGCTCAAAGAAAAGGTACACATACTACTCGTAACCCTTATCCTCTTTATACCTTTTTGAGCTATGATCGTCTTTCTCCACCTCATTTCACCTTTGTTTCTAGTCTTTCTTCTGTTTCTATTCCCAAGACCACAAGTGAAGCACTTTTCCATCCCGGGTGGCGCCAAGCGATGCTTGATGAGATGACTGCACTTCATTCCTATGGCACTTGGGACTTTGTTTCTGCTCTTCCAGAGAAGTCTATCGTTGGTTGCCGCTGGGTTTTTACTGTGAAAGTTGGACCTGATGGCCATGTTGATCGACTCAAGGCACGCCTAGTTGCAAAGGGTTTTACTCAAATCTTCGGCCTTGATTATAGCGATACATTCTCTCCAGTCGCTAAGATGGCGTCAGTTCGCCTATTTCTTTCTCTTGCTGCTGTTCGTCACTGGCCACTCCTTCAACTTGACATCAAAAATGCCTTTCTTCATGGTGATTTACAAGAAGTTTATATGGAGCAACCACCTGGTTTTGTTGCTCGGGGAGAGTCTGGGAAAGTGTGTCGTCTTCGAAAATCCTTATATAGTCTCAAGCAGTCTACTCGGGCATGGTTCAGTCGCTTCAGTTCTGCTGTTCAGGCGTTTGGCTTAATTCGCAGTAAAGTTGACCATTCTGTATTTTATAGGATCACGTCTCCTGGTAAGTGCATCTATGTGTTAGTCTATGTTCATGACATCATCCTCACCGGGAGTGATCAAGCTTAAATTCGTCAGTTAAAACAGTATTTATTCAGTCAATTTCAAACAAAGGACCTCGGGAAGTTGCGTTACTTCTTGGGAATTGAGGTAGCACAATCTAGACAGGGCATTTCTATCTGTTAAAGGAAGTATGCCTTGGATATCCTAGAAAAGACTGGTATGTTGGGGTGTAAACCAATTGATACACCCATGGATCCCAATGTCAAGTTATTGCCCGGACAGGGGGAGCTGTTATCTGATCCTGGTCGTTGTCGGAAGCTAATTGGGAAGCTCAATTATCTTACGGTGACTAGGCCAGACATTTCTTTCGCTGTTAATACGGCTAGTCAGTTCCTTGATTCCCCTTGTGATTTTCATTGGGATGCTGCTGTGAGGATCCTCCGATACATCAAAGGAGCACCAGGAAAAGGTTTGTTGTATTCAGATCAGGGAAATACAGAAACTTGTGGTTATTCAGATGTTGATTGGGCAGGATCACCCTCAGACAGACGCTCTACTTCTGGCTATTGTGTCTTCTTTGGAGGAAACCTAATTTCTTGGAAGAGCAAGAAACAACCTGTTGTTGCTCGATCTAGTGCAGAAGCTGAATATCGTGCAATGGCAATTACTACATGTGAGTTAATCTGGTTAAAGCAGTTGATTCAGGAGCTTCGTCTTTGTGAACAGAAACAAGCCATGACACTCATTTGTGATAATCAAGTTGCGCTACATATATCCTCTAATCCTGTATTTCATGAGAGAACCAAACATATAGAGATTGATTGTCACTTCATTCGAGAAAGGATTCAGTCAGGAGAAATCAAGACAGTTTTTGTCAACTCTAATGATCAACTAGCGGATGACTTCACTAAAGCTCTTAGAGGTCCTCGGCTTGAATTCATTTGTAGCAAGCTTGGTGCTCACAATATATACGTACCAGCTTGAGGGGGAGTGTTAGAATAGATATGATTGGATATGATTAGATATGATTAGATTACTTCCTATCTGTAAATATTATTCCTTTGGATTAGTTCTGGGCTTCTCACTTAAGCCATTAGGGTCTCTATATATTGTAACTCTTTGTATCAGATTAATACACAACATCTTATTTTATATTCAAGTCCTTAAACAATGAAAAGGAAAGAATCTTAATTTATTTTAACACTCCTATTTGGAAAGAAGAACAGTATGGTTCAACTAAAAAACTTAGCCCCGTCTCCATACCCCCTCACCCAACACCTGGGTTTGAAATATTTAAAAAAAAAAATTATTGGTATGTCTCTCTGCACTCGAATAAATAACTAGAAGGAAGGCAAACAAAGTAACCATAAGTATCATTAAATAAAAATAACAAATGGATTTTATCCCCCAATGCAGTAATACTATCACATGTTCTCCCAGATTCATTAGATGTAAGTTGCAAATTCCCTAAAGGAAGAATTGCATTCTGATACAAATGACATTGTCAGAGGAAGTTATCAAACCAGCTTACAAGTTAAAAACATGAGAAATTCACTCAACTTAATATTTAGAATGGTAATATAACAGAAGAAAAGTGAATCAAGACTCAATATTATATTACTATAAATTTGAAATGCTATGCCCTTGCCACCTAATTCTCAGTATTGATACTTTAAACAGCAAACAGATCATAGCAAGCGTTAATGACAGTCATTACTATTCAGATAAATCTTCTAGGGCATTATGAAAGATAAAAGCATCCAGAAAAATCTTCAACATATCAATATAACAGAAAACATGTTTAGTCTGGATAATTGAAATACTTGATAGTTAATAGGGTTAACACAAATGACATGTTTAAGATCAGCAGACCTCATACAGATCTTTATATTTTAATTTGTTTTGTTATATGTGCTATGTGGTTCCACTTTAGAAACAGTGACCGATTTATTTTTTATTTATTTTTTATTTATTTTTTAATATGAAAAGAAAAGAAAAAGTATGCACATAAGGATTATAAAGGATAAGGAATCCACCATAGCAAAAAAAGTAAAGTAGGAAAGAGCATAAGTATCAAAGTATCCAAGACTCAATAAAGCTACCCAATATCTACTCATGTTAGATATGGGAACTACCTTAAAAAAGCCACTAACACAGAACCATAGGGATGTCACAAAAACACACAATCCTGCCCCATAATAAGTTGGAACGTGGGATACACCCATAAAGATGTGTGCACTCTGCTCCAACCAAATGCACTAAAGGACAGCAAAAACTGCACATTTCACAAACATTTGCCTCAACTTTGCCAAAGCCCTTAAATATCACCACAAAAGACTGTTTCTATGTAGAAAGAGAAAAGAACCCACCCAAGCCTCTCCAAAAGCCCCAAAACAAAATGTTAGTGATGTATTTTTTTTCGTATTGTCTGGCATTTACTTTCTTTTTGGAATAAGCTGTCTAGTGTGCTTTGGGAATATTGGAATTTTTTTTTTCAATTCACAACAATTTCTCTATCGCTCACAAATGCAAGATAAGGCTACCTACTATACTATAGATCCATCCCTGGACCCCGCACATAACAGGAGCATTATAGCACAAGACTGCCCCTTTTGGAACAACTTCTCTCTGTGTTTCAAAGATCTTGGTAAACCAAGGATGCAAAACTTTATGGTAGTGCGCAATTTATGTAATGTTGTAGTGTAGTTGGTTGGAGGGTAAGCATGATGCTTAAGGATGTCTCTACGCCCTCAGGTATGCAATGACTTATGAGGTTAGATTGTTTTTATGGATTCTATACATGGTCTTCTAATATTTATTTCTAGGGAGTTTTGTAAAGTCAATTTCTAAAAGAGGGAGTAGGGGCCCAGAATTGCAGGGAAAAGACAGAGAAGGAAGAGGCAAGATTGAGAGATTGAATGGGAGAGAGAATAGATTGAAAGAGTGACATGAAGGAACTAGGAAGTACTTTCTTCTTCTTAATTCCATTCAGCCATTTGGCATTTCATAACAAGAATTTGAAATACTAAAAAGGTAAAGCGAATGAACGTTAATCCTAATTGATACCAATCAGAGCTAATTGATATCAATCTAATCATTTTATTCATGCTAATTGAAATGCTAAAAAAGGTAAAGCCAATAAATGCTAATGTTGATTGACACTAATCAACATTAATTGATAAGAATCTAATCATTTTATTAATGGAAGCTAGTAAATGCTAATTTGATATCGCGTGATGACTTGTTGCATATCATTCCTTCCCTCGAACTTTGGCCCCAAGTGGCCGCAGCACGCAAGTGTATCGAGATGCAGCATGGTCAGCAGTAGTCGATCTTCTGGGTGGGCGTTTAATATTAAAAATAGTTCTCCCCAATGAATAGCCAAAAGGTCAATTCACCTAAGGAGAAATGTGGGAACATGAGGCAGAGAGTATGTCCATGCAATGGCACAACATCCAAAGGTGTGGGCTACTGCAAAGCTCTGCCAAGGATGCTTAATGCTGGATCGATTGGTGATGGTGGTATTGTTGGTCACTCACATTAAAGGGTGGCAAAGAGGCCCTAATCACGTCTGGATCGATTGGTGATGCTTTTTGTTGTAAGGTTGATTTGGTTTGAATGTCCACGAAGATGGCAGCAGTTGTAGCACTAAATAGTTGTTGCACTTCTTGCAATTGAGCCTTGTACTCTTCAGGAGTACAACTCACCAACAAGTCAAGCTACATGCCGCATTCGCATTAGCAAGCATGTATGAGACTCAACTCAGCGAGCTGCACCTTAGCAACCAGCCATTTCAGCTATCGCCCTAGGCAGCACCAAGCCGTATAGCTCCTACCGCCTCCTAATCCCTTGTCCATGGCTGCCTATCAAATGCCTAATAGAGGAAGAGATGCAAATGCAACATCACAGCAGACAATGCTTCAACTGTTACAAGAGGTTTGTCCACAGACATCAATGCAAAAGCTCGGTCATTTTACATTAGGAGGAACTTGGTGCTACGGAGGTCTACTCGCTACGGCCCGAGCCAGTCGTATCTAATCCACCTGACCCATTCACACGCCACACGTTGCGTCTTGACTTGAGAGAAGTCTCGTTTGATGGGGAAAGGAATGTTAGGCATTTATTAGCATTTATTAGCGTTCATTAATTAAAAAATTATATAGGTATCAAATAATCCTGACTAGTACCAGATAGGAATAGCAATTATTGTCTTTACCATTTTAAGTTTTAACATTTCAAACCTTTTTTATAGAAGTCAAACTGCTGAAGGGAATAAACAAGAAAAAAGATTACTTCCTTCCTATAATCCTCTTATTCTCTTTTCGCTCTCAACAAATCAATCGTTCTCGCCTCTCTCTCTCCCTTCCTCTCTGATTTTAATAAAAATACACTTAATATAGCAGCAGCTGGCAAAACAATTTTAACTACATCTACACATATGTCTTCAATTTGGACAATGCTATTCTCCTCTGAACTGCTCTATTCTCTTTAACCAATCCGTTTCTCAGATTGTATTATATAATAGCATTACTCCTGTTATGCTATGAACATATATTTTACCACCTTCACTTCAAGTCATTAGGATAATAAGGGATATGTCGAAGGACTATCATTAACCTATAACCTTGCCAAAAATCATGTTTTTTGTACATATATACTTTGTATAAGAGATCTATGCTGCAGTAAAAACAACAAAGGAACAATAATATCTCTCTAGCCATCACAGGAGATTAATGGAATTCACAAAATAGCAAATTGCTCACTGCATATTTCATATTTCCAGATCATAAGGATAATTCAAAGGGGGAGGGCCATAGAGGTTGGTTCAATGCCATGTAAACAAGAAAGTGTAACACAATCACAATAATCCAAAACCAGAACACATAACATAAACCGCCTCCATCACTAATTATGATACTAACTGTAAACATAGAACCCAAAATCATGGCCAAAAACAATCCCAGAAGCCAAACTAAGCCAATCACCTAAAACTAACAAGATACATCTCCAAAATACCCACATCACTGTAAACCAATATACTTCAATTACCAAACGAAAAAAAAAAATCTCAAAAGTTACACTAAATTACAGTCACACCCATTATGTCACTTTCCACGGTTTTCCGGGATGCCAAACACCACAACACTAAGCAAAGACAAAAAAAAAATTGAGAAATAAAAAGTAGAAAATCACTTACAGCAGGGAAACGTGTATCGAGCTTTTTCCTCATGGTATCAGAATCGGGTGAAAAAAATTAGGATCACAACACACAGAAGAACGAAACCCCAAAAATGGGAACGAAAATAAGGAAAGAAAAATCAAAACTTGTGAACGTGAATATCATTCACAAGACAAAATCCAAGGAAACCATCTCATCTCGGATCCGAAGGTGTCGTCCCAGAAACTAACGACGTTTCGATTCAGCGGAATATTCGTTAGTACGAGTTTGACGAAGAAAATAAAAAGACAGAACTGTGACAAAGCTGACGGAAAACTGAACCTTACTGTGAGGGAAAGTTTGGAATAGACCAATAGCTAAAAAACATCTGGGACCGACGCAGAATAATAACTATCAACCCAAAAAATATATATAATTATTAAAAAATCAGATTACCAATTAAGGATTATTTTGGAACAGTGATCAAAATGTCACTATTTTCTAACTTTTTTTTTAAATACCATGTCAGCAGTGTTAATTTTTAATATGCCACATGGGCAAGTTCGCTGGCCACTGTAGCGAACTCAGTTTGCTGACGTGTCACGTTCCTAGTGAACACCAAGCTCGCCAATTATTGCACCTGTACGTTTTCACCTACCACGATGACACGTGGCAGACATGCAACGAAGTTCGCTAGGGGGCAGTGAACTTCGTTGCATGTCTGCCATGTGACGTGGCAGGCAGAAACGTGCAGGTGTAATAATTACAATCAAGTTCGATACCCCAAGTAGCGAACTTGCCCACGTGGCATACTGGAAATTAATACTGTTGACATGACATTTAAATAAAAAAATTAAAGAACAGTGATATTTTAGTCACTATTCCGATTATTTTGGGTATTAGTTTGGTAATGGTTGGAGCAGCAAACTCGGATTCGGCAAGAATCTCATTTTTTGGTAGTACGAAGGGGGAATTGGCCCAAAAATTGGATAGAAGCAATGCCAAGTGTCAAGGGAGTCTCTTCCCGGACCGGTGAGCGTGAAAGCCATGCTATCAAGAAAGAGAGATCTGGATATGGATCGAGATCGGGGTGAAGACTTCGCTCGTACAAGTAAACAGACGTTGGTGATTCCGCGGAATCCACTGTAAAATCAATAGATTAATATTTCTCATGTCACTTCATTTCGTATAAAAAGACAGTAATTTATGTCACAGATTTAAAAAGACATACACTTTAACAACACAAATTTAGTTTGTTTTGAAAGAGAAATAGACAAGAAAAAAAAAATATGGATCCCACTTAAAAAAAAAAAAAAAAATCTGACCTCTTTATATTTATTTCTTTTTAAAAACACTTAAATTTGTGTATTTAAAAGAATACATATTTTTCTCTTTACATATTTGACATATTCATATATGCAAAATGACACTAAATTAGGAGTTTATTCTTTTATATTGTTTTGGTAAATAATAAAGGAAAAGTTATTCTTATAGTTATCTTCTGTAATTTCATATTACTAATAAAATTTCCTAATTATAATCGCTGCAAAATTAATAAAATTTAAAAATATTTCTAAATATTTCTAAATTTTTGTTTAATTTTAGTTATAACAATTAAAAAATACAGTGATTTATTCTGAGAGTTATTTTTATAAAATAACCTATCTCAAATAAATATTTTTATTTTAAAAAAAAAAGTATGCACACACGTACTACCATTTTTTTAGCACATAAATATTCATAATTTTTTTAAAAAAAATTACATTATAATTTTTCCTTCCTCAAAAAATATTTGGGTCTGCCATTATATATATATATATATATATATATATATATATATATATATATATATATATATATATGTAAAATACTTATTCTATATTATTTCTTTGTTTATATTTTTGGAAATTTCATTCTAATCTTAAAAAATTCCAAACTAATATTTAATACTTTCTTAAAATATTTCTTAGATAAAAATTATTTTTTAAATAACTTTAAATTTTTGTTTTCGTAAAATTTAATTCTAAGGTACTTTTCTAAATATTGAAAAATTATGTAAAGATTTTACGATAATTAAATAAATTATTACTAAATTATTTTATCTAAATCAAAAAAGTTATCTGAACCTAGTGGGTGTCACATATACCACTAATTACAATGTTTCAAGAATACGTCATAATTGGAATAAAGATCGGGTGGCAAAAGAAACATGAATGAAAATAAAGTCCCGACCAAACTTTATTCGATTTGGTCATATAGTTAGTGATCGCCTCATCTAATCTTATAAAAACCTTTTGCTGTGCAGATTTATTTTGGCGCTCCTAGCGCATAAAATATTGGGTAGGGCAAACAAGAAAGCGAGAAAGGAAGATTGAGGAGAGAGAAGACAAAATGAAGAAAAAAAAATCATGTGTCACTCCCTTGTTGAGAGAACCACCATTGTAACATCCCGTATGCATCCGGTCATGTTATCATTGTTTACGATATTAAGCACAGTTATAATCACAACAGTTCATTTAATAATTACGGTAAAACTTTTTCTTTTTTAATACCGTTTACAAAATCCTTACATTTATAAAACGTTCGTATTCAGCATTTCCTAAAAAAATGTGATCGTAACTTAAAACTATTGCAAAATTATAAATATTATTGCTTAATATCATACAACATCTATTTAAAATTGCTAAGTGATTCCCATAAACCAACGAAGCACAAATACACAATTTGACGTTTCACCTACTTAAGGTACATTTAGTTTTTCCAAAACTGTAACTGGACTACTTGTCCATAAATTATCATCTTTTGATATGTTATTCTACACTCTTTTACCTTTCCACAAGGTATCACACGCCCCCATTTGGAGTTTTACAACTCCGGATACGCTCGCCGTAAGTTACTTCCTTAAAACTGACAAAACTGCTTTGTTAGGTACACAAACATCCCTCACTGTTTTTCAAACTGAAGTCATTCCACTTTTCTGTTTTCCACCAATTTTAATATCTTTTAGGAGACACCTCAAGCTTCATTTTGATATATCATAAGCCTAATTTGGATAAGAAATGAGAGAGATGTGAATTTTTCAAAAGTGAACACCAATGCTGTAAAATACAGCGCAAACAGAAACATATCTCATTCAAACACAAACTGAGCAGTTTCTACAACTCCAAATGATACCAAATTTTATGACAACACAGGGGACATCCTAAGCTTCAAAATAAGATATATTACATCTTAATTTGACCATTGTAGAGAGAGTTATGGTTCTCAAAGTTACGATAAAATCTAACTGTTTTTCTAGAAATTTTGACGGAGTCTCCTTTGTTTTTACAACTTTCCCCCACTTTATACATGTGTGTTCCAAGACTCAAAAGTGCTACCTAATAGAACAAAAGGGGGCATCCAAAGGATCAACATTCCTTGGTGCACTTAAAACCCACAATATACATCAATTCATATTATGTCTCTTTATCTTTCATTATAATTTAACAACGTCAATAACTACAATAGGCTTTAGGTCCTTCCAACACATACATCAATATTTACATAAACAAGATTCTCCAGTAATACAATTATATTATATCAACTATCAAATTTAACTATTACATAATCAACATAATAATCAAATGACTTACACACAAATGCATGAACAACTCTAAGCATGTCCACATAACTCATACAAGACCAATGTTCATGCACTAAGTCAATGATACGAAATAAGCAACTATCAGGTGCATCATAATAATATCTCAAAATGTCATGTAACCCCATTCACTCCTATGTACATGTCAAATACTCCATATGCTCATATCCACTTTAAGTGGGCTTCTTGCCCAAGGCTTCTCCAGCAGCAGTAATGGTACTTGAAAATGATGCCCCATAATGCGGGGTGAGATTTGACAATCTCAGTAAACTATGGGTCTTTGAGGGTCACTCCACCCAATGGCTCACTCAATGTGCATGCAATGATAAATATATAAATAGCATAACATACGAAATCACAACAATCACTGAGCAAACAATCAAGAACATCCAAACAAAATACTATAACGCTCTCATCCATAACTCCCGAGACATTCCTAGTACCGCTCCCAAAACAAAGACAGCACTACAGAAAAACCCGACTAGAACTCCCTACAAAGACCTATCCAGTGAAACTCCCATAAATCTATCTACTGGCCAGAGATAGTAGTATATCAAAACATATACCAGATACTAGTATATCAAACCATATACCAGATAGCATGCCAAAATGCATGTCAAACAACAGGTAAAAATGCATGGTCATACTCTATCATACATTATCAAAGATTACAAATCCAACCATTTCCAAAGGGCATGGCGAAGCACACAAAGGGACTAACCCCAGGACACACCAAAGTTTACCTGTAAAAGTTCCACAAGCAATTTCACAAGCTAACAGAGAGAAGCTTCCAAAGATTAATCCTCCAAGATTGGATCAAAGAGTGTCAACCTACAATGATCATACCACAATATGATCAATCACATGCTTGAGAATACACAAACAAATATAACAACAACTCTCAGAAAACCCCTAGCTCACGGTCATTAAACCTCAAAGTATGCCTAATTGTGTTTTAATTTCAACAAACCAACACCATCACTTAAACAACCTTAATAACCAACTCACCAATACATTCGAACACTCTCCATCAAGCCACTACACACTTTACAACATTTTTCTCTAATTTCTTCAATATGGCTGAATGTGTACATAATGTGGCCAAGGTAATTTTCAATCATTCATAAGCTTAAAACTCTTATAAAACTCCATAATTTAGGATTGAAACAACCACCAATCAATTACATCATCCATCAAAGACTTCCTTCACAAATCATCGCTCTTTCATGCTTGAAAATTTGTCTCAGTGTTGGCACCAAAATCACTTGAATTTTTATTGCATTTTTATTGATTATTCATCCATACTAATAATAAATTCCAAAGGAACATAGCCATAAGACCTCTATAACCATGCTCACCAACATACACATCATATTATGTCCAAAATTTCGATCCATAGAAAATACTCAATGAAATTGAGAAATCTTACCACCAATGGGTTCCTAGGCTTCCAGGGATCAATATACAAGCCTCCAAGCAATAAAAACTACCAACAATGGCTACTCTCACCTCACAAAACTGCCACCTTCAAGCTCTTGAATCTCCTCACACGCTCACTTTCTCAAGAAATTCTTTTCGGGTTTTTGAACACCAAGAGATTCTGGGTATTTTTCATGTTGTAACTTTCTTGATTCGGTGTAAAAATAAAAAAGTTGCAAACCTAA